AGACCCTTTAATTATTAGGGGAGAAGAGCAATCTGAGAGGCTGCAGAACGAGCGTTGCCTCCCAAACAATGGGAACAGTCCTTAGAGCAAGTTCTTAGTCATAGAGAAGTATGGGTGTGGTTATCCATATTGTAAAATTGGATGCTAAAATTCAAGGCATGTAAGTAATTAACAAACTATACGTGAGAGTGGGAAATGAAGTGAAAGTGAGTATGATGGAGATTGTAGCCGTTAATTAGGGTGGGGTTGATTGAACAGTGGCTACTGCTCTGGTGCTAATGGAGTCTTCACCAGCAGGATACCTTGATATTTCTGGGGCTACACTCTCAAAATCCCAGTCATTAAGTTCAGCACAAAATATTAGAAGGAAGATAAAAGGCACTTGCTTTAAACATTACCTCTTATTAATTCCATTCCCTAAGTTTACTTGCCAGCAGATTTTCAAGACTACAGTGGGGCAAAAAAGTATTTAGTCAGCCACCAATTGTGCAAGTTCTCCCACTTAAAAAGATGAGAGAGGCCTGTAATTTTCATCATAGGTAGAGGAGAGAGAATGCTGAGTTGCATCCAAAGAACACCATACCTACTGTGAAGCATGGGGGTGGAAAGAGGAGAGAGAATGCTGAGTTGCATCCAAAGAACACCATACCTACTGTGAAGCATGGGGGTGGAAAGAGGAGAGAGAATGCTGAGTTGCATCCAAAGAACACCATACCTACTGTGAAGCATGGGGGTGGAAAGAGGAGAGAGAATGCTGAGTTGCATCCAAAGAACACCATACCTACTGTGAAGCATGGGGGTGGAAAGAGGAGAGAGAATGCTGAGTTGCATCCAAAGAACACCATACCTACTGTGAAGCATGGGGGTGGAAAGAGGAGAGAGAATGCTGAGTTGCATCCAAAGAACACCATACCTACTGTGAAGCATGGGGGTGGAAAGAGGAGAGAGAATGCTGAGTTGCATCCAAAGAACACCATACCTACTGTGAAGCATGGGGGTGGAAAGAGGAGAGAGAATGCTGAGTTGCATCCAAAGAACACCATACCTACTGTGAAGCATGGGGGTGGAAAGAGGAGAGAGAATGCTGAGTTGCATCCAAAGAACACCATACCTACTGTGAAGCATGGGGGTGGAAAGAGGAGAGAGAATGCTGAGTTGCATCCAAAGAACACCATACCTACTGTGAAGCATGGGGGTGGAAAGAGGAGAGAGAATGCTGAGTTGCATCCAAAGAACACCATACCTACTGTGAAGCATGGGGGTGGAAAGAGAACTTGCACAATTGGTGGCTGACTAAATACTTTTTTGCCCCACTGTAGACTTGTTATCACGGCTAACTAAAGTAGTAATTATGGATGCTTCATTTAATTTAGGTTGACCTTCAATAATACTACCGCGACATACTATTGTTGTATTTGTATTTTTTTCTCTATTTTATTATATTTTAGAGCAAGGTTACAAAAATAAACATAAAATAAACAGAATACAAAGGTAAACAGTGAAACAAGTAATGAAATGCTAAAAACAGTTAACGAACTACAAACAAAACAAAACCCTAACCAGAACATAGAATATAAAGAAGAACCACCACCACCCCTAAAATAATAAAGAACCTACATAAAATTTAAAAGCCATATTACCACTGTAATTTTACACGGAGGGTTAGTTTTAGTAGAGTAGAGATGTCTGGAAAAAATCTGCTGGCAAGTGAATTCAGGATCTGGAATTAATAAGAGAGTGTTTAAAGCAAGTGCCTTTTATCTTCCTTCTGATATTTGTGTTGAACTTAATGAACTGCATACATATTATGTGAGCATTACTGATTTCTGATAACCTGGTGAGTACAAGATTTTTAGGCAAGCAACAATTTTAACTCCATTGTTTGATTTTGAAACTCTGCCAGTTTTTTTTCCTGAGATAAAAACCTGCAAATCAGTGGGATTTATCTTCCAATAGACTTAGAAGATGTTGAGAGTCATTACAATCCTGTTTTGTTCAGTTTAATTTCATCTAAATTTGGTTACAGATGTAGGCAGACTTTCTTTGAAGTAAATGCCTTTATTTTCAGTATCAGCTTCTTTCAAATAAGCACCCAGGATATTTATAAGAGACAAAAGAGAAAGGCCCTGCAATTATTTCTCTGACAACTTGAATTTTAGCTAGAAGTTTAACTGAGGTTTAAGCCAGGTTCTATCTCTACTTGGTTTCCCTTTCTGGTATACTCCATTACATTCCTGTTTTGACAGCCTGAAAAATTCATTTTGTACTTTTGTATCTGGTTCTATACTTGTGTTTTGAAATGAGCCTAAAATCTGGTATGGTTTATCATGCGTTAGATGTGTGTACCCAAATCACCAGGGGTACACTTTCTGTGTTCATGCAATGAATTAGGGATGACAGCTTTGTAATTAAAAAGTAAGCCTGTAATGTAGAAGCTGTAATTATGTGGTCAGAGGCTTGACTGGGAATAGAACAAGGCAAGAAATCCAGCACATTAAAGAAATAGCAACATGAAGAGACAATATCCTTGGGATGCCTAGGGAGATCTTGCTAATCTAATCAACTCTAACCCCATAGGAGAGACCATTACCTCCCCTGGTCACTGTGGAACAACGTCTTGCTGAAAATGTTCCCGTGATAATCAGAAATGAGGACAGATGCTGAAATCCAGAGAGGGGTAGCGAAAGAGAAAATGTTATAAAATGATACAGTGATGGAAAGGCCCAAAATTACATGCCCTCTCCAAAAGCCTTGCAGGACACTCCTGGAGATCTCCAGAAATTGTTGCCAAAGTTTTAATGTAACAGAAAGAGAAATTGATTCTATATCGTTGTTTAAGTATATTAAATATAGTTTGGTTTGTAGTCAAGATGATAGAAGTGTTGGTACAGATGAGCATATTCAGGAGTCAGCTATTAAGTCTTTCCAGGTTGAAGTTTAAGAACAGCTTATCCACATAATCCTACTGCAACTGACATTTATTTTACTAGGAGATAATAGTCTAAAGTTTAGAATTTGGGATACAATGAATCATTACAGAGTTGACCAATTAACTTGGTTATCTCTTGCTGTAGACTGCAACTTTATGGAGTATAAGAAATGGCAGCTGCATATATGAAACTGTTTTTCTCCCCACATCCTATATTTTTATAGTCCAGGTAGGAACAAAAATTATTTTGAGATTTCTGCCCCATCTTTTTTTCACACATTACAATAATTAGCCATTGTGGAAACAATTTGTTACTCTATTCATCTTATGTGTTTTGAGTGTTTCTTTCCATGCTGGCTATTTACAGTTACTGCATCATGCTTGGTACATATCCTTGCAGAATTTGAATGCTTTTCATATAGAAACCTAAATGCTTGAGCCTGTGAGTGAGTTGGTGTGGTGTCTTAGAGAGTGGTACACTCTGAATTTGTTGGAACTGTAATTTTTCAGGAAAAACCAAGTGTATTGCCATTTCCATTTGACACTTCCTATGAGAAGAATCCAGCTGAATAAACCAGGAAGTCTTCATCCTTTGTTTGTTTAGCACTAAATACCATCCTTGTTTCTCTTAAAAAGCCAGACTAGTAAACTAGGTTTAGTTTGTGGCTTATTTAATCTGACTTGTTCAGGGAATAAAAAGACAGGGATTCTGATTCATATGTAATAGTGAATAAGCTGCTGGCAAGGTTTCTCTAGTGCTTTCTCTCCTTTGGTGGCATGAACCTGGTGGACACATTTCACTAGCTTGCACTAGCATGCTTGCTCATTCCCAGTTAGTCATAATTCCATAGAATGGCTTACTGTTACGTTGAAATAGGACCATCATGTTATACTTGGGCTCTTACTGTTTTTTAGCCATAGGAAGCACTTTGCTAACCTAAGCTGGCTTCTCCTTGGATGGGAGGCCACCATGAAATCTCTACCAGGGGAAAACACCAAGTCTGTAGGGTAGATTACGAAGTCAAGAAAACATCTCAGGAGAAGAGAGTGGCAAACCACTTTGCTTTTGTTGCCAAGAAACCTAATGACTGTATCTAAGAATCAAGCTTGAGTCAAGGAAAACTTCATTTTTTTTTAATTTTCAATTTGCATCTGTAAAATTAAATATAACTATATAAATACAAGGAATTAATTTTTCTGAACAAGTGCTGCATAGTCTGCTCTGTGGCTTGAGAAGCACCACTTTGCTGTTTAAGATCTAACTAGAGATGCCAGGACTGGATGCTGACACCATCTGCATTCAAACCACGGGTCACCTTGTGAGCCGTCCCCCCCCCCCACGATACGTCCGCCTCTGATGAGCTATTGTTTGCAGTATA